TGTGAAGACTCATTCCCTTTCTGTTTGTATTTAGAGTTATTACCTCCATGAGTATAGGCCAAGTTCCTCAAATTGTAGCAATTTGCCTTTGTTTCCTTTATCAAAAATTGTTTTGTTCTTTTTTTTTATCTTCCTTTAAGTCGAGTTCTTTTCTCCGTTGATAAGAATGTTGTTTATTGGTCCAGTGGTGAGGATTTTTGTTTTCTTTATATTGAGATGTAATCAATACCGAGGGCTGTGCTCTTTGATCTTCATTAGTAAATGTTTTAAGTCCTCTTCACTTTCAGCAAGCAAGGTTGTAGCATCTGTGTATCGTAGGTTGTTTATGAGTCTTCCTCCAACAAGACTGAAGTTGTCAAGGACTTTGTTCTTTTTGGATCAACTATCAACACTCACAGAAGCAGCAGTCAAGAAATCAGACGATGTATTGCATTAGGCAAATCTGCTGCACAAGACCTTTTAAACGTGTTGAAGAGCAAAGATGTCAGCTTGGAGACTAAGGTGCGCCTGACTCAAGCCATGGTATTTTCAATAACCTCATATGCATGCGTAAGCTGGACAGTGAGTAAGAAGACCGTAGAAGAATTGATGCTTTTGAGTTATGGTGTTGGATGAGAATATTGAATGTGGGCTGCCAAAAGAACCAACAGATCCGTGTTGGAAGAAGTGCACCCAGAGTTGCTCCTTGGAGACCAGGATGGCCAACCTTCGTCTCTCATACTTCGAACATATTGTCAGGAGGGACCAGTCACTGGAGAAGGATATCATGTTTGGTAAGGTGGGGTATCAGAGAAAAAGAGGAAGGCCCCTAGCAAGATGGATTGGTCAAGTGGCAGCATCAATGGGTTCAAGTGTGGTAACAATTGTGAGGTTGGCCCAGGATCGGGCAGTGTTTTGTTCTGCTGTGCATAAAGTCACTATGAGTTGGTGCTGACTCGATGGCACCTAACAACAACAAAAAAGTTGAGTTCTGATTATTAAGCCATTGAAGCTAGGTCAAATGGGTACTATCTGCAATTTTGGGTGTTCCTGTGCGCCTCTTCCCACTTAATATCAGCTGGATGCTTCACTCTCAGCTTTAGCCCTCTATGGTTATGTCCTTGTCCATGGGCTCAGGTGTCCCCAAGTCTCACCACACTTTGGATCAACCAGCCCTTCCTCTTCTCTCTCTCATCTCCAGGTCAACAGGAGTAGCTATGAATGAACTAGATGGCAGTGGATTTTGGTTTCAGTTTAGAAAAAATTTAGTAAAATGCACTGTGCTTTCCCTGCTAGTGAAACAGGGGCTGGGGGGTGGGGGTGGGGTGTCCAGAAATTTGGGTTAAACATGAGCCAGTGAGTGACTGAAATGTTGTTACTGATGTCTTGAGGAATGTTGATGCCTGCGCCCCTCCTTGGAAAGATATGTGGGACATACCCAGAGTGCACAGCTGGGCAGCCACATCCTGGGACATGCCTTCGAGGAAGACCACCCATAAAAATTCTGTATTGTATGAGACATACCATTGTGGAAGACCACCCATACAAATTTTGTGTTTTTATTTCCTTGTGAGATATTCTACAGGTTGGACTGGTTTACTCAGTGCCCTGGGCATAACTTTAAAGGGCAAATCTTCTACTGGGCAGAGGAAAATGCCAGCCCCTGCAGGAGGTTTGAACCAGGGTCTCAAAGGACCCCGCATGCTCAGTATCCTAGTATAAATTCTGTCTGTTCCTACCAGAGGACTTTGCAGTGGAATCCATCTTGAACAAATGCTTGTGCATGCACACAATCAGCATGACCCCTCCTAGACTGGCTACTTACCAGAAATCCCTGCCTATCCTTATGAATAAATATGATGCCTTTTTCCTATCTATAACATTTTAACCCCTAGCAAAGACTGTTTGGGGAGACAGTGGTTAAGCATTGCATTGACTCCTTCCTGTCTCTGCTTGCAGGCCTCTTTCCTATAACAAACCTTTGCTCAAATGGACACTCTGCCTCACCTGACTCTTCTTACCCAGGAGAAGCCGCTGGAAGTCCCTGTAAAACTAGGCCACCCAATTTACCAATCTGCAGCCTGAGTTGTGGCACTGTGGCATAATGCTGTGGCATAATGCATTGGACCACAAGTCAGTTTGAATTGTAGGGTTGGTGGTTCAAATTTACTAGCCACTCCTTGGAAACCCTATACAAGGTCACTATGAGTCAGAACCGACTCAACGGCACTTAACAGTCTGAATTTTCATCTACAGGGTGCTAAATTGCCACCTAGTGGAAATCTATTAATCTAGGTTACCCATGTTGATTTCGACCTTACTATTCAACAAATATTTACGAAGGCTTACAAGGTACCAGTATTTTGTGCTAAGAAAGCATGGGGGGCAGGCTGGTGGTGGTGGAGCATAAGGTCTAATTAAAATATGAGAGTACCCACTGTAATAATTACTAATGTCAGATCTTGGCTGAAAGCAGATTATACCAGAAAGATGTTTACCTGTGTTTTATTGACTATGCAAAGGTATTCAACTGTGTGGGCCATAACAAATTATTGATAACATTGCAAAGACTGGAAATTCCAGAACACTTAACTGTGCTCATGCTGAACCTGTGCATAGACCAAAACGCAGTCATTTGAGTAGAACAATGGGATACTGCATGGTTTCCAATCAGGAAAGATGTGTGCCAGGGTTGCAACCTTTCACCATATTCATTCAATCTGTATGCTGAGCAACGCATGAAGAACGCAGCGCTAGGACTGGAGCTAGGCTCATTAACAAGCTGCAATATGCAGATGTTGGCTATGAAAAGGACTTGAAGCACTTGCTGATAATGGAATAAAGAAAAAAGTTAGATAGCGCTCATTCATAACCAAGAGTTGACAAAATACAGGCAAACCCTTCCTTCTTTTAAAACAAGATATTCACTGGACCCCCAACTTTAAAGTTTTATCAAAAAATATGGTGGTTATGTGCCTGGAGCCAGTTCTGACTCATAGCGACCCTGCATAGGGTTTCCAAGGCTGTAAATATTTATGGGAGCAGAAAGCCTCATCTTTCTCCTGCAGAATGACCTTGAGGTTAGCAGCCTGACTCATAACCACTACAGTCTTCATTCTGGATTATACCTCAACATAAAGAAAATAAAAATCCTGGCATCTAGAGCAATTGGCAACATTAGAAAAGATTCAAGTTGCCAAGGATTTCATTTTACTTGGATCTACAGTCAACACCCAGGGAAACAGAAATCAAGGAATCAAATAATGTATTGCATTGGGCAAATGTGCTGCAAAAGACCTCTTTGAAGTGTCAAAAAGCATTTTTTTTTTTTTTCCCAAAGGTGTACCGTTGAGAATTAAGGTACACCTGACCCAAGCTCTGGGTCAATCATCTTACATACATGTGAAAGCTGGACAAAGAATAAAGACTAAAGAAAAATGGATGTATTTGAATTATGGTGTTGGTGAAGAAAAAGCAAATCTCTCTTAGAAGTACAGCCAGAATGTTCCTTCAAAGTGAGGTGGTCAAGCTCTGGTATCATATACTTTAGACATGTTACTAGGAAGGACCCGTCTTGGAAAAGGTTAGCCTGCTTGGTAAAGTTGTTGTTGTTAAGTGCCTTCAAGTCGGTTCCGACTCATAGCGACCTTGTATAAAGCTTCCAAGGACGAGCTGTTGAGTTTGAACCACTGACTTTGCGGCCCAGGGCTTACCCTACAGAGCCACAAAAAGAGGAATACCTTCAATGAGATGGATGACACAGTGGTTTCAACAATGGTTTCAAACAAGCATTGTCAGGCTGGAAGTGGAATGAGTGGTGTTTCCTCCAGCTGTACATACGTTTGCTAATATTCAGAACTAACTGATGTCACTTCACCATCACCACCATAATAAAAAGCACACAAATTATTGGTACACACTTTTAATTAATATTATTAACCTTTTTCTTCCATTTTCAGGGGTATGGTTGGAGGAGGATGGGAAAATAGGCAAATGCACAGAATAGAAAGTTTATTAGTGGTCACCAGGATTCGGGAGAGGGGAATAGGAAGCTGTTCCTTATGGGATACTGTTTCTGTTTATGGGAATGAAAACATTTGAAAATGGTGACAGTTACACAATATGTTGATTATGATTAATGTCACTGAATTGTACACTTTAGAAAAGGTTAAAATGCAAAGTTTTGTTGTATATATTTGATCAACATTAAAAAGGGGGTACGTTACCAAGTCTCAGAGAAAGAAAGGTAGAGGCGGGAGAATTGTGAAGAACAGAGAGGGCGGGTTTTGCCTTTAGTAGAGCGAATAATTTAGCTATGATTTGTACATTTACATATTTCAAAGCTCCTGTAGCCACCATCAGAAATGGAGAGCTAAAAAACAAAACAAACCAAAACTAAAATACTTAGGCCTGTAAGATTCCATGATCCCAAGAAAACCTCTTCACCGGGTTAGAGGACCTGCAAAGGAGCCTCGCTTCAAGATCATCAATATCATTTTGGCGCGAACTACAACCCCCACTAAGCACCGCACGGGAAGCGGGGTCCACGCCGAAAAAAAGTTGAGGCGTTCCATTTCTTTCTTGAGATAAAAAAACAACAACGCATACTTTTCTCACTACTTTCATGCCATCACAGAAATTTCACTTTCAGCAGACCACATTTCATAATTGTCAATAGAGTGTACTGTCAAGTGTGTAGCTAGCGTTCTTCTGCCTTCAGGCACAGCCGCGGGAAGGCGAGGCGGCACAAGGTTCGAAGACTTTAGTGCGCGCGAGTTGGGGGATGAGTGAAAATGCACCAGAGCCAGAGCGCAGGCCGGGGCGGGGCGGGGCGGGGCGGGGCTAGGCGAGGCGCGGGCCGGAAGTGCGTATGAAAGGCGACCGGAAGGACCTGAGTGGCAGCTGCGCTCGTTCCGGGATAGTGTTCCGACATTGGCCTGCTGTGGGCAGTGGTTGCAGTGCTTACTACTTGGGGCTCGGTCGCTGCTTTAGACCGGCACCTTCTGTCCCTGGCCTGCCCCGAGGCTTTTAGTCTCCGCCCATTTCACCGTAGGTCGGGAAGACATGAGCAACAAAGAAGGTGATGTCCTTAGCAGCCGTTCGGCGTTCTTTACTCAGTGGCAGGCTTTCCAGCCTCTTTTTCGGATTTTCAGCTTTTCTTAAGGGATGTCCCACTAACCTTCAGGCTAGAGGTGGCCCAGGTGCTTTCCTCGGCCAGATTGGTTTTATTTACAACCCTTATTTTCTTAAATCATCGAGCTGTGATTTTAACCATGTTGGGTGATTGCTGTATCTTGGGCACTGGGAAGTCGGTGGGGTGAGGTTAAAGGTTTGGGGGAAAAGGAAACGAAAACCACGACCATCAAGGAGATGCCAACTCGTAGCGAGAGTAGAATTGCCCATTCGGGTTTCCAGGGCTGTAGGTTTTTAGGAGAGCGGGTAATATCGTTTCCAGGGTTGGTGGATTTGAACCCTGATCCTTCGGTCACTGCGTCGCTTAGCCCACGGCGCCACCAGAGCTCCTTGGGGTGAAATGGAAGCGCTGATTTTTGGATCAAAATTTTTAAGTTGGGGGGTCCAGGGAGTGTCTTGTTATAAAGGAAGGAAGGGGTTTGCCTGTAGTTTGTCAGCTCTGGGTTATGAAGGAACCCTTACTTTCTAACTCTTTTCTTCTTCCATGCATAAGGACCAGGAGGGTTCAGGAAAAGGAAGCACGACACTTTCCCTCATAACCCGAGAAGAGAAGGGAAGGATGTTCATTCCTCTTCACCTGTGATGCTGGCCTTTAAATGTGAGTTCTCTGGAAGGGAAAGTGGCAAAGGGATGGGAATTAAGCTGTTGGAACAGGACTGCAGCAACCTCGTGGTGCAGCCGTGGGCATGCACCAAGTGGAGTGTGCTGTTTACTTAAACCTGTGCATTTTCTTGGTGGCTCTGTGATGCTGTTAAGTCTTCACTGAAAGTCTGGGTTTCAAACACCTTGACCTTATTTTTTTCCCACCACAGTTCCACAGGAACCATGGTAGTGTAGTAGATTACCAATGAGGCTGCTAATTCCAAGGTCGGTAGTCAAACATACCAGTCTCTCCTCGATAGAAAGATAAGGATTTCTGCTCACGGAAAGATTTAAAGTCTCAGAAACCCCCTACAGGGTGGTCCTGGATTGGAACCGGCTCAGTGTCACACACACACACACACACACACACACACACACACACACACACAGTTCCACAGGTAAACTTGACATTAGACTTGATGTGTTGTTGAGAACGGTTGTATAATCGTAACAGTTTCCTATCCTTTCTCCGTTAACGTTGTGTGTGCAGTATCGGGTTCTGACTCAGAGTGACCCTGTGTAGGGTTTCCAGGGGCAGGAGCACAAGGCAGAACAGCTAGTGGATTCCAACAGTCAGCCCTATGGGAACAACCCAGTGCATAAGCCTGTATGTCAGCATGGTGCCCTGCTTTCCCATATGGTGGTGGTGGTGATGTGCCGACCTCCAGTGACCCTGCATAGGGTTTCCAAGGCTATATGTCTTTACAGGAGCAGACAGCTGGTAGTCTAGAGCTGCTGACCCTGAGATTAGCAGCCTGACTGTAACCACTACGCTCCCAGAGCGCTATATGTTACCATATAACTGTATATATTTAAGAAATATGTATGAAAGGTATTCAAAAAGTTTGTAGAAGAATTCTATAACCATTTTTTATATTAAAAATCTAGAAGGAGCTCTGGTAGCGTAGTGGTTACGAATCGGGCTGCGAACCGCAAGGTCAGTAGTTCGAAACTACCAGCTGTTCCGCGGGAGAAAGATGAGGCTTTCTGCTCCCGTAAAGATTTACAGCCTCGGAAACCTTGTACAGGGTCGCTATGGGTCGGAATCAACTTGACGGCACTTAACAACAACAAATTTATTTTTAAACTTACTGTGAGTTGAGTGAAGGTTTATACATTTGTTTTACCTTCAGCATTGACTACTTGCTTCATTCCCATGATTGCAGTCCTCTCTATGTGTCAGCGTACTTGACTCCGGCACTCCTCCCTGTGCCTTTCCTTGCCTTCATCTTTCTTCTGCCAGCCTTCCTCTTGTTGTATATTGCCCATCCTGTCACCTGTGTTAATATGTGTCCACCCTCTAGCCCAAGGATGGGGAATATCCGGCCCACATAAGGGCCTCGAAATCATGTGATCTGGCTGTGTCAAGGCAACCACAGTTCCAGCCATGACAGTTTTGTTAAGTGCCGTGGAGTTGTTTTGGACTCACAGTAACCTTGTATAGGGTTTCCAAGGAGCAGCTGGTGGGTTTGAACTGCCAACCTTGTGGTTCCCAGTCCATTGCTGATCCTACAGCTCCACAACAGAAGTCCTAACCATCACGGTGTTAAGTATATTGAGTCAGTTCTGACTCATGGTGGTCCTGTGTACTATGTAAGATTTCCAAGGAGTGAATGGTGAATTTATATTGCTGACTTTGCAGTTCAAACCAACCTTTCAATCCAGCACATTATCCCACAGTGCCACACCAGGACTCACATCACGTTGTTAGGTGTCATTGAGTTGGTTCTGACCCAGACATGCTTGAACCGCCAACCTTCCAGTTCAAACAGACTTTTCAGTCCAACGCGTTAACCTACAGTGCCACACCAGGACTCCTTTTCATCACATGTTGTTAAGTGCTGTCCAGCTGGTTCTGACCCATAGCACCCCTGTGTAGTGTTTTAGGAGTGGCTGGTGACCTTGAACTGCTGACCTTGTGGTTCATACCAACTTTTTGCAGTCCAGTGCATTAACCCACAGCACCACACCAGAACTCCCTTCACATTTTATTTTTGTTGTTGTATGCTTTTGAGTCGGTTCCCCATCACGTTGTTGTTAAAGTGCTGTCGAGTCATTTCTGACCCATAGCGACCCCGTATAGGCTTTACCGACTTGCAGCTGGTGAATTTGAACCGCCAACCTTGCAGTTCAAACGGCTTTGCAGTCTGGCGTATTAACCCACAGCACCACACCAGGACCCCATCACATTAGGGTGAGTTAATAAAATGTTTGACCAAATACAGCAGGCTGATTTTTCAAAAGTTGATAATTTTGTATGGCCTGTGAATGTTAATAAATTTTGGCAGGAAAAAGATTTTTCACTCTTCTCTAAACCATGAACAATTTTAGTTAAGAAAACATTTTTAAACTTTTACAACACTGGTCTCAAAGAATGTTTATGTTTTTGTATAACATCTTCCCGGCTCATTAGTGTTATGAGGTATTTCACAGATTCATCATTATTCTTCAGTGTTGTAGAGTATTCTGTTGTGTGTATGTATCAGAGTTGGTTTAGCCATCATTTAGCCATAAATGACGGGCATTTAGGTGGTCTCCATCTTTTTAATACGTCTCTTGTAGACGGCACATTGAAGGAGCCTGCTGTCTCATCCATTCTGCTCTCTCCCATGTCTTGGCTAGTGCCTTTAATCCATTAACATTCAATGTGATTATTGATAGGTAGGAATTGCTTGCTGTCATTTTACTGTGCATTTTTTGTTTTGTTTTTTTGCATGTGTAGTGTTGGTTTCTTTATTCCACATACTTTTCTGTTGTGAGTTTGTGGTTTTCTTTTCATTTTCTTCATTTTTGTTGTGTTAATATTTACTAAATCTTTTTTTTTTCTCTCTTTTTTATTTTGATGTGCAGGTGTATTAATTTTCTTTGAGGTTACCCTGTCATTGATTAATTTTTCCCTAGTTCAAACAGTCTGTTGTATCTTGAAATTGACTTCACTTCCTAGCCATTTAGAAGTTCTGTATCGCCACTATTAGTTTCTTGCTTTGTAGTTGACTTCATATATATTGGTATCTCTGGTTCTCTATTCTCAGTCTTACAGGTTTGCTTGACTTTAAGTAATTCTATTTCGTTCTGTTGTGCATAAGGTCACTATGGGTCAGTACCGACTCGATGACACTTAACAACAATAAAAGTATCTGGATTGGAGTCCTAGTGTAATGTTGTAGGCTAATGCACTGGACTGCAAAGTCTTTTGAACCACAAGGTTGGTGGTTCAAGCTCACCAGCCGCTCCTTGGAAACACTGTAGTGGGTCGCTCTGGGTCGGAAACGATTCGACAGCAGTTAGCAACAACAATATCTGGATTGAGTTCTGGGTGATGTCATGTATGGTGATCTCAGGTTGTTGTCTGCTGTTGTTGGTTCTCAATGCAAAGAACACCCTTTAGCATTTTTTGTGAAGTTGGTCCTGTCATTACAAATTCCTTTAATTTCTGTTTTCCAGGAAAGGTCCTAATTTTACTATTGTATTTGAGGGACAGTTTTGCTGGGTATGTGATTTCTGCTTGGCTTCCCCCCACCCCCGGAGTTTTATATGTGCCATCCCATTACCTTCTTTTCTGCATGGTTTCTGCTGTGAAATCAGAGTTTAAGTTCTCCTTTGTAGGTAACTTTTCCTATTTCCTGAGCTGTTCTCAGGATTCTTTACTTGTCCTTGGTTATGGTGTATCTTGGTGATTTCCTTTTGGGATATATCCTGGTTGGGATTTATTCAGCTTTTTGTATGCTAATCCTCCCATATTTAATGATGCTAAAGAAGATTTCCTCTAACAAATCTTTGACAATTTTTTCTGTCCTTTTTGCTGTCAATTCCTGTTCTAAAATTCAGACCTCCTGTCAGTTATTCCTCTTCATGGTGTCCCACATAACTCTTAGGCTTGCTTCAGATTTTTTCAGTGTTTTTTTCTGATCTTGTAGTATACTGGTTTTTTTTCAAGCTCCATTGATTTAAATATGCTTCTTTGCCCTTTGATTGTATTGAACATTTCTGAAGTCTTAGTATTAATATTCTGTATTTCTGATTTCAGGTTTTGTATTGTTTCAAAATTCACACTTACTTTGACTGTCTGTTCTTGTGTTTTCCAGAATTCTTCCAAAGTTTTTTCTGTGTTCTCCTTGTTTTCCTCCATTTTTCTGTCAATCCTAATAAGGTAGCTAAATATCAGTCTTTTGAATTCTTTTTCAGTTAGTTCTATTACCTTTTCTTCTTCTGTCTATAATCTTTTCATTCTAGTTTCAGCCTCCTTGTGTTTGTTCTGTCTTAACTGGACTTTCATGATGTGAAGCTCTGGGGTAATGCACTGGACCCTGAGGACGGCAGTTCGAACCCACCAGCTGCTCCTCGGAAACCCTATACAGGGTCACTATGAGTTAGAACTGACTTACAGCGACCCTGTTTAGGGTTTTCAAGAAGCAACTGGTGAGTTTGAACCTTGTGGTTTCAGCCGACCTTGCAGTCTAGTGCTTTATCCCACAGTGCCAGACCAGGACTCCTGTAACACTCTGCATAGTTAAAACACATATTTTCACAGGCTTCTCCTCCCCTACTCCCCTAGTGGCTTAGTCTAGTTGCTCCCCATTTAAAAACAAGACAAAAAAATTAAATCTTCCTTAATGTTCCACTCTATCCATTTTTAAAAAAAACTCAAAGCAACTGTGTTAACAACTCATGTGGAGTTGTTTAAGGGCTGAGCATTCTAAAGTAAATCCTAGACTTTTCTTTCAAGGTGACTTTGTTGTTGTTTTAAAGCACCGTCAAGTCGGTTCTAACTCATAGTGACCCTATGTAGAGTTTCTGAGGAGCAGCTGGTAAGCTTGAACCGCCGACCTTGCAGGTGGCTCAAGCTTTTCAGTTAGCAGCTGTGTGTGTTTACTGTTTGTACCCTCCTGGGACTCCCCTCCACCCACTGCCTTTTACCTTATGGTTTCTGTGGTTCAGGAATCTGGGAGGGCCTTAGCTGGTTCTGATCTGTAACCGTCTGAAGATTTGTTTGGGGTTGGAGAATCCATAGCCATTGGAAAATTAGGCCTTCTGCCAGCACCCAACTTTTGTTTCTTGCCATGTGGACCACCTCCAAAGGGCTGCTTGAATGTCTTCCTCTTGGCATCTGACTTCCCTCAAAGTGAGTGGATACAGAGAGAGGAAGTGGAAACCACATTCCCTTGATATCTGAATTTCAGACATACATTGTCACGTTAGCCACATTGTACTTGTTAGAGGTGAGTCACTAAGTATAGCCTATTGAACACTGTCAGGGCCAAGAATGCTGTAGAGCTTAATAGATGTTCCAGAAGGGGCTGACTTGGTGAATGACACTCCCTCTAGAAATATAAATCATGTAATACAATTATGGGGGACACTTATCTACCAAGTGATAAAACCTAGTTAAGACATACCTGTATTTTTCAGCAAGTAATTTTGTGTTTCGTAGCAGAATCTTCCATTTCCAAGTATTACAAACATATGAGATGATTTTAATTTGTTGTTAAGTGTCATTGAGTCAGCTGTGTGAGGTTTCCAAGGAGTAGCTGGCACGTTTGAACTACCAGTCTTGTGGTTAACAGTCAAGTGCTTATCCTACAACACCTATTGTGCATAGCAACAATATGTTTAAATGAAAACTGTTTCTGCTTTTTTAGCAGTTTGTGTTTTAAGTAAGTTAAAGTATTTCTTTTTTACTTTTCTTCTTGTTCACTTTACCAAATTTCTTTGTAAAAGTTCAACGTAAATAAAATCTTTACTAAGGTCGGTAGTTCAAACCCACCAGTCGCTGCTTGGAAACCCAAGACAGGGTTGCTAGGAGTTGAAACTGACTTGACGGCACACAGTGACAACAGTGTGCTAGGAGATTTCAGAAAGGAGAAAAGATTTCTCTGGAAGGTTTTTAGTGAGAAACATTAGCTTGTAGAGAAACATTGATGAGATAGTGTGGTTATCACACCAGAGTATTTTGAGTGGTGCTTTTAGGGTCTTTTATGTGCTGTAGCTGCATGCCATCAGTTCGGTTCTGATCCCTAGCAACCCTGTGTAGGGTTTCTGAAGCTGTAAATCTTACAGAAGCAAAAAGCCTCATCATTCACCCAAGGGCTGGGTGGCTGCTTTCCTTGCTGTTAGCAGCTCAATGCATAACCAGGACTCCTTTTTCAGTGATCTACAGAGTCTTGTTAATGGCGCTGTAGGATAAACACTGCACTGCTAACTGTAAGGTCTGTGGTTCAAACTCACCACCGGCTTCTTGGGAACCCTATACAGGATTGCTGTGAGTCCGAAACGACTCGATGGCAGTTCACAACTGCAACAGTCATTTCTCTGGAAAGGCTTAGTGCAAGGCTGGTCCCTAGAGCTGGAAGATAACGACATAGCAAGTATCTGACTTTGTTTAACATTGAAAACCATAGAAAAGTTCTCTGTACTATTTTTCCAACTTAAAAAAATATGGAGTGCCGTACCACTTCATAACCCTGATACCCACCACTGCTCCTCCCCTCAGTATAATCCTCCACTTCTCAGGGCTCCACAGTTTGCTGCCATGCCTCTCAGAACTCACGGGCTGTCAAGGAAATGGTCCATGTGGTTGTGGAGCTTGGCAAGTCCTAAATGTGCAGTTGAGGCTTCAATCTGGAGGTTTCTCACTCACGAGGCTGTGGAAGCTGGGAAGTCAGGTTCAGGCCACTGGCTCAAGGCCCCAGAACCAGAGGTCGGATGGAGACAAATTTGGTTAGTCGAGCAGAGGCGTGCCCGGCCCACTGACATCACCATGATGGCTCGCATAATTTATACCAATTAGGACGGCAAACTTGACCGGTACCCTTGTTACATTCCCAAGTTCTTACAATCACAATTAACTGTTACCAGTTATGTACAGTTCACAGCTGAACTATATAATTCTGTCAACATCTTCTCTTTACCCAGACCCATCAGGAAAAAGTTGTTTGGTGGCAGTACAAGGAGATGGCTAGAAGAGACGTAGTAGATAATTCATAGCACCTAGACTACTTTGTCCTTGAAGGTGTTGAGTTCAGAGATGAATCAGATGAATAGTATTGTTGAGTCATATCGAAAACTTTCTGTTTTTAGCTTTTTACTTTGAAACAACCTCAATCATATTTGTTTAAGTTGGAAAAATAGTACAGAGCACTTTTCTATGGTTTTCAGTGTTAAACATACTGCCACTTTTCCTTTATCATGTTCTGTAAATTTATTTGTACACATACACATTTTTTCTAAACCATTTGGGAAGAAGTTTCAGCTTTCCCCTTTAATAGTTCAGAAATATTCCGAGGAATAAGGATGCTTACTAATTTTAGAAAATTTGACATTGATACAGTACTTTCTTTCCTAGTGCGTAGTTTGTCATTTGTCCCAATAATGTTCTTTGTAGAATTTTTCTTTCCAGTTATGTATCCAGTCCAAAATCACATTGCATTTAGTTGTCGTATCTCTTGAGTATCCTTTAATATGGAGTAATGTCTCAGACTTTCTTGGTCTTTCCTGACAAGACCGTCATTTCATCAAATATTCCTTAGCTTGGACATAATGAATATTTTTACATGATTAAATTCAGGTATGCATCCTGCTTGGAATACTCTATATAAACGATGGTGTGTCCTTTAAGATTTTATAACTCCTCATAAGGAGTTTGGAATTTGTTAAAGGTAATATAGAGCCATTAGAATCTTGAAATCTAACATACATTCTAGTAGCTGTAGGGAGGAAGGACTTAAGTGGAAGCAGAGAAATGAGGCAAGAGGTTCTCCTATGTACAGATTTAGATTTCAAGGGTAGCAATGAAGGTAATTAAACATACAATAGTGCTTCACAGTTCATTTGTATTAGTACTTTGTATGGAGAATTTATATTAATTCAACAGCATCAGCAGGCATTTCTATTTTAGTGGCAGGGCTTAATGGTCCATGGATTTATAAACAACTTTAATTACCAGGAGATTGTACATCATCGTAGGACCAGCTTTATCTCCAACTATAGTACATGCTGTGAACCAGTTATGTGGCCTGTTACTTCAGCAAACATTTAGGCATTCAAGAAATATTTTCTGAACTTCTACTGCTGCAATTATGAAAAAGCTTTATCCTGTAATTAAATAGGAAAAAAGAGGAATGAAATGAGCAAAAACTTTCCTGTGGTTTTGTTCCCTTCTGCTATTGGGGGACCTTTGTCTCCTTACTCAAGCTTCTATATTGAAGGTTGTTTTATATGTAGAAGTGCTGAATCACCAAAGGTGTTATTTCTGAGTCAGCTTTTATTTCCTGAGGAAATTTCTCCGAGTTTAAATTTTCCTGTTTCTAGATTTCTTACATCCTGACTTTTGACTTAGTTTTCTGTTGACTTTTTCCTAGTGTAACCACTGGTTGTTAAGTGCCATTGAGTTGATTCCGACTGATAGCGACCCTGTATAGGGTTCCCAGGGAGTGACTGGTGGGTTTGATCAATCCAGTGCTTATCCTAAAGCCTAAACACTTAGGAAAGTTTTCTTGTTTTATACTGATCATTTTCAAATGAACTTTGCCACAGTCTTCTGTCAGTTGCAGAACTACTTAATGATTTAGTCCTCAGTTATATAGCAAATCAAACTGACATTGTGAATTTTATTTTTATCCTTTTATTAATCTTTAAAAATAATTTATTTAGCATTTCCCATGTATACTCTGGTTATGTATACAGTGTTACTCATGTTGAAATAAAGTACATTTTAGATTATGTGCAATCTAAAATAGATTAATTAGATTGCTACTTAATATTTTTTAATTGTAGCATTCATATTTCTTAACTTTAAAAAAATTGAACTGAAATTCATGCATTGCAGTTATTCATTTCAAGAACTTTATTGTATATTTCTCTAATGCTGCTTCAGTTGACTTCACAGTTTTTAAAAATCTCAGGAATTTGCGTGTTTCAGTGCAGTATTGGCATTTGCAGAAAAAGATTAGTAGATATTTCCTTTAGAACTTGGTACCATTATAAAGTAGTTGTAGCAATATTAAATGAACCTTGAAGGCTATAGAATGTGTGATAGTTGAGAGCGCTGTAGAGGACAGCTGGTAGAGATTGTTTGGGTGTATCCTTGTGAGCACACTGTGGTTCTGTTACACACGGAAGAATCAGTGCAGATTCCCTTGTCCTCCTTCACAGTATCCTAGGCAGTCTTCTGTTTGGTTTGTGGCCTTACTGTCATTATTATGTGTTCTCAGCATTTCAGCAGGAACTTGATGCAAGGCATGACAAATATGAAAGATTGGTGAAACTTAGTCGGGATATAACTGTTGAAAGCAAAAGGACGATTTTCCTTCTCCATAGGATTACAAGGTGAGTAATTTTTAAATTTGTTGTAGGTTGATACAGTTTATAGTTTATATTTTATGCTTTGTATCTTAAAAGTGGAGTCCTAGTATGGTGCTGTAGGATAAGCACTGGACCACAAGGTCAATTTGAACCAAAAGATCAGTGATTCAAAAGTACCAGTAGCTCCCTGGGAACCCTGTCCAGGGTCACTATGAGTCACAACCGACTTGACACTTAACAACAACAACACCCTAAAATCTCTTCTGTCAGCTTGTACTGTGTTGGCTGGTGTGTTGCTGTGATGCGGGAAGGTATGTCACCAGTATTTTAAATCCCAGCAGGGTCATCCATGGTGGACAGGTTTCAGCTGAGCTTCAGTACTAAGACAAACTAGAAAGAAGGAAAGGCTGGCTACTTCTGAATGTGTAGCCTCTGAAATCCTTATGGTTAGCAGTAGAATGTTGTCAGATGTAATGCTGGAAGATGAAAGCATTAGGAATACTGTCAGATGCAGTGCCAGAAGATGAGCCACCCAGGTTGGAAGACACTAAAAGTAACACTGGGAAAGAGTTGCCTCCTCAGAGTGGAGTGGAACATAATGACATGGAGTAAAGCTATTGTGACCTTCATTTGCTGATGGGGCACAATCAAGATGAGAAACAGCTGCACACACCCAGTAATAGTTAGAGCATGGACTGCACGGTGTGAATCTGGGAAATTTGGAAGCTGTCTAAAATGAAACACATAAAGATCGACATTCTAGCTATTGGTAAGCTGAGATGGGCTGGTAATGACCATTTTGAATCAGATAATCATATGCTTACTATGCTGGGAACCACAAATTGAAGAGAAACGGCTTCGTGTTCATCATCAAAAAACATTTCAAGATCTATGTTGAAGTACAATGCTGTCTGTGATAAGATAATATTTATATGCTTACAAGGAGTCCTGGTATAACACTGTAGGCTAAGCCCTGGAACACAAGTTTGAAATGGACCACAAGGTGGCGGTTCAAACCCGTGAGCCCCTCCTCAGAAACCCTATTCCGGTTTGCTATGAGTTGAAATTTAACAGCACAGGGAAGACCAGTTAATACTATTACTCACATTTACACACCTCCCACTAAACCCAGTGATAATGAAATCGAAGAATTCTACCAACTTCTTCAGTCTGAAATTGATGAAACATGCCATCAAAATATATTAGTAATTACTGGTGATTGGAATACAAAGGTTGGAAACAAAGAGGAAGAATCACTAGTTGGAAAATATGGCCTTGGTGATAGAAATGATGCTGGAGATCACATGATAGAAACTTATTCAATATTTTTCTCATATTGTTAAAGTGCCTTTGATTTGGTTCCAACTCATAGCAACCTGTATAGGATTTCCAAGGGGCAGCTGGTGGGTTTGAACTGCCAACCCTGTGGTTCACAGTCCAGTGTTGATCCTAACATGCCATACCAGGAAAGAACTAAAGAAAAAATTACAAACCTCAACTTGCAATTTGAAGGATTCTATTTTCCCCATGTTATTGTTTAGTGCTGTTGAGTCGATTCCGACCCTGTATAGGGTTTCCGAGGAACAGCTGGTAAGCTTGAACCCCCGACCTTGCAATTCAAATGGCTTTGCAGTGTGGTGCATTAACACACAGCGCCACACCGGTGCGTTCAATATTGCAAATTGAGGCTTGAATTTTTTTATTCAGTCCTTTCAGCTTGAGTAATGCTGAGTGTGTTCTTGCCTTGTGGCTTTCTAACTCTAGGTCTTTGTACGTTTCATGGTAATACTTTGTCTTCTCAAGCTGTCCTTTGAAATTTTCTTTTCAACTCTTACACTTCCCCACTTCTTCCAGTTACTTTATTTTTGCTTTTTATTTTACTTTTATTGTGAATTGAGTGAAGGTTTACAGACAAGATCATCAATTTTAAATTCAACAAACAATGCACTTTGTTTTAGCTCAATGATTGCCGTCCCCTCCATAGAACACCAGTTACCCTGCTTCCTCTCTGTGGTTGCTATGTCCATTCCACCCACTTTCCATTACTTCTCGCCATTGTCCTTGGGCACATGGTGCCCTTTGATTTTGAAAGAGTGACCTTTCCATCATTCATAATGAGCATACTTTATGGGTGTTGCTGTTCTGCCTGTATACCTATCTGCTGCTTGGCTGAAAGGGTGAGCTCCTTTCCAGACCTGAAAGTGGTTGAGGACCATACTCTCAGATTCCTCCAGTCTCTTTCTGACCAGTCAGTCCAGTCTTTTCTTCTTTCTTTTTGACTAATTGTGAGTTTCGTCTTACTCATTATGCCACTCTAACCAGGATCTTCTAGTGTGCTCCTCTTTAGAACAGTTGGTCGTGGTAGCTGGGCACCGTCTAGTCTTTCTGGTTTGAGAGTCATGGAGACTGATGTTCACATGTTCCATTAGTCTTTTGGACTAGTTGAGTCCAAGCCTCTTCAATTCTTATCACACTTCTTTCTTCCACATGTGGAGAGACCAATAGCTGCATCTCAGATGGCTGCTCATGAGCTTTTAATATCCCAGACGTTACTCACCAAACTAGGATGTAGAACATTGTCTTCGTGGACTGTGTTGTGCCAGTTGACCATGGTGTCCTCTGAGACTCTGGTCCTGAGCCTCTGGGCTCAGCTACTCATTGTCTAAAGATGTTTAATAATATCGAAGAAGTTTTCATCATTTTGTCTGGTGTGTGCACCACCATATTCACAGTGGTGTTTACAGGAAAGGTATATAATACTCATATACCTTTCACGCTCTTGTGCCTCTGTGAGACACACAACTGTATGTGTAGACACACAAACACACACACACGTATATATACAGAGAGCTTTGGTAGTGGACTGGTTACAAATCAGGCTGCTAACCTGAAGATTAACTGTTTGAAACTACCAGTCATCCTGCAGAAGAAAGATGAGGCTTTCTGCTCCTGTAAAGATTTACAGCCTCAGAAACCCTACGCAGGGTCCATATGAGTCAGAACTAATTCCTGTGTGTGTGTATGTGTATGTGTATGTGTGTATATATATATATATATATTGTTATTGTTAAGTGCCGTCGAGTCATTTCCGACCCATAGCGACCCTGTACAGGGTTTCCGAGGATGTAAATCTTTACGGGAGTAGAAACCCTCATCTTTCTCCCGTGGAGTGGCTGGTAGTTTCTAACCGCTGACCTTAAGGTTCGCAGCCCAATTCGTAACCACTACGCTACCAGAGCTCCTATACACACACACACACACACACACACACATACATGCACACACAGATATATACATTCTACTCTTCCCATAATCATTCAGCATGTCTTTCTGTCCATGTGTCTACCCGTGAAGTATGGTGGTTTCAAGGTGGTATATGTAAGACTACTTACCTGTATCCCCTTAAGCCCTTGTATACCTCCCTGTGTCTTCATCATACTTCTGCCACCCTCCCTTTCTTGTATGTTGCCCTCCCCTTCACCCAAATTAACATCTTTCTAACCCATTAGCGAAGGAGCTCTGATAGCGTAGTGGTTACGAATTGGGCTGCTAATCTCATGGTCAGCAGTTCGAAACTACCAGCTGTTCCGTAGGAGAAAGATGAGGCTTTGTGCTCCTGTAAAGATACACAGTCTTGGAAACCCTATATAGGGTCGCTATGAGTCGGAACCGACTCCACGGCACATAACAATAACAACCACCCCATTAGCGGAGCCCTGGTGTGGCACTGTGGGTTAATGTGCTAGATTGCAAGGTCGGTTTGAACTGCACCAACTGCTCCTTGGAAAGCCTATATACATAGGGTCACTCTGAGTTAGAACCAACTCGATGGCACTTAACAAGAACAGCAGCAACCCTGTAATCAGAGTCCTGATGTGGGTGGCGCTGTAGGGTAAGCAGTCTACTACAAGGTCGGTTTGAACTTCACGGTCAACTGGTCAGACTCACCAGTTGCTTCTTGGAAACCCTATGCAGGGTCGCTATGGGTCAGAACCAAGTTGACAACACTTAACAACAACACCCTAAAATCACTGAACTACTCTCCCTTTCCTCCCATCCCTGGCAGCCATCAAAGAATGTTTCTTTTTTGTGTTTCAAAGCCAAATATTTGTGGGATATTAAAATACATATGTCAGGACTTCCACCAAGATGGCGGCCTAGGCAGACTCATTGCCTGGACCTTATACAACGGAGATATGAGAGACAAAATGAATCACACAGGTAAATTCTGGCACTCTCAACTTGAGAAGATTAGAGAGATGGATGCAATGCTTGCTGAGAGGAGAAGCCCGGCAGGGATGGTGAGAGAGGGAGACTGTGACTGGTGAGCAGCTAGCCAGACGCAGCTCCACCACCTTCTGAGCAGCTTTGGTAGCTGAGGGAGGCCCGGCAGAGCAGATTCATGCGGGTGATAGAAACAGTGCCATCTCTTGTTTCCCACACCCACTTTGTGACCAGAAGTGTGACCACTTCCCACCCTCCCTCACCCCCACCTGCGTCCCCTGTGCAGGCCCTGCTCTTCAGGAGCTCAGAGGCTGGTGGTTTGAAGCTATGCTAGTGTGAGGTAGGGGCCTGCTGTGGTGTGCCACTTTGGTGCCTGGATTCAGGTAGGCTCGGCTCCAGACCTACAAAACCTACAGAGTCACCAGACCAGCATTGAACCAGTCACCCCACCCCCAGCTTCCCTGTGGTCCTAATAGATACTGAAATTAGCTCCATCAAGGACCCCCATGAACTACTTGTGGATTGAGTGCCCTGAACATAGATAACACTGAGGCCAATAGGAACTCCATTAGGGCCTAGAACTCTGCTGTCACCTCCTTTCCAGCATCACCACAAAAACCCAGATAAATGGCAATAATTCATACCTATTGATAATTACACTGACTGTAAGTGAATTAAATGTACCAGTCAGGTGACATGAAAAGGAGCATGGATAAGAAAACAGAATCCTTCAACATGTCTGCAAGACACATATCCAAAAGGTGGAGGTTGCCTAAATGCCCATCAATACAAGAATGGCT